ATTCTCTCTCTCTCTCTCTCTCTCTCTCTCTCTCTCTCTCTCTCTCTCTGTCACTCTCTCTCACTAGTTGTACGTGGCGTATTCTGGCCATGGAAGGGAGCTGAACAACTCTATGTATGACACTTTTTTGGGATGTGTGGGAACTATCATGAATACAAGGAAGCTGTCTGGCTGTTTTTCATGTCACTAGGCTAAGCAAAGGAGGACAGGGAGCAGCCATGTGGTCCAAACTCCCACTTCGAGTGTTGCCAGTGACCTTACAACGGGCTGAGATTGTCAAACAGCAAATGCTTCATTTCTCCTTCCATGAAAAGAGTGTCCACTGAAGAAATCCCTGCTTTCAGAGGTCCGAGTCCTGTTTCCCATCACTGGCTTCAGTTGTATAAGACTTTGATATTTGGGAAGGATGGATGAGGGAATCATTAATACTAAATTTGAAACTATTTTTGCAAGCCTTAATTTACTTTAAAACAAAGTTTTTTTAAAAAAGTTGTTCAAATCATTATTTAAAGCAAACTGCAAAGGCCAGGCAGCTTCTCCAGAGGCTGAAGCCAGCCTTGGCAACATGGGTTAGAGCAGGAACTTGCTTCAAAGAAGTAAAGTCACAGAGAGCAAGCTTGTACTGAAATGCCAACTAGAAGTGGAGGACACAGTGGAAATCAGCGTGAAAGTCTTCAGGATGTAGATTCGGTCAGAATCTGTAGTGCATCAGGGCAAGCTGCAGCCCCGCCATAAAAATAAAATGAGAATTATAAACTAGATATAAAAAAAAATCACAAGAAGCACAAGTTACACCATAAAATCACTACCTCCTCAACACAGAAATATTACAGGGACCCAAATAAAGGACTGATGGCAAAAGAAGTTAGCAATTTTAAGACAAATGGGAATGGGAAGAAGTGAAGGATTTCCACAAATGAGTGATTTCTTTCCCTCATCAACTTCTGATCAAAACCGTGAATGTGTGTTTCTCTTATAGACAGATGGGGACACTCTGTTTCTTCTAATAACCGTGCATCTGCCTGTAAAGCATAAATAGGAATTTCTGTCTCCACGAGAAGAAAAGCTGCACACAGGGAATTGTGCAGAAGGCACAAAAGCATGTAGAAAAAAATTGAAATTATATTCCAAAGGGAAGGAAGTAGGCACACCCACATGTAGACTCAGGCATAGGAGGAGAGGGGGAGACTGGAGACACCCCTGAGAGGCCAGGAGTTCAGGGCAGGAGAGGAAGACTGTCTTGTGTATATAGCAGTCCAACCTAGTATCCAAATGGAGAGGAGACGTCATCTCGAGCCAAACAGTGCAAAGCCACAGCAGTGTGAGCCAGGACCAGCTTGCCCGTCCCCGTGAACCCGTGCCATCCACACGGTGAACATGGTTGGGGGGCCTCCCTTTTGCAGGAGATGGGAATGTGCAGCAGGCAGCATGGGGGACTGGTGTGTGGAGAAGAGCAGGCTCCAGACATGGGGCCCAGGCACTGTCACCAGGCCTGTCCCCCAGAGCCCGGGGCCCGGGCACTGTCACTGGGCCTGTTCCCTACTGACCCCTGCCTGCCAGGCCACGGCTCCTGGAGACACAGGAAGGGATATCTGTCACAGACTCAGCCTGCCCCTGGCACACAATTGTCTTTATGAACCAGCACCTGTTGCCAATGAGCAGTGGGGAGAGGCTCAGTGGAGGACGAGGGGCGAGAAAGGTCCTCACTGCATAAATTCTGTGCTCAGCCAGTGTGGTGGCTGGCCCTCAGGACCCGCTCAGGTTGATTACACAGGAAAAGGAGCAAGAAGTGTTGGTTCTGAAAGCCAGTTTTGCAAATTACTTTAGCTAAGGGTTTATTAGAACATCTACAGACACCAGACAGGTAATGAACCAAGAATGTTGGGGAATGCATAATCCCAGCAGTGTGGAGGCCCAAACCAGGAGATCCCGCATGTGAGGCCAGCCGGGGCCACAGGGCAGGCGCGCCATGTGAGGCGTGTGTGGCCGCTGAGGCCCGTCCACTTTGTTGGTAATCAGTGAAGGGCGGGGGTCCCACAGTCCCCTCAAAGGCACCCCACATGACCTGACAGGCTCCGCCTCCTGGACATTCCTACCACCTCCTAAAGCCTTCAACACACAGGGAACATTCTAGAGCCAAAGCACAGCAAGGTGTGCACCTACTGGAGACAGGAGACCGTGTCAAGCACGCTGCAGCTGCTGCAGCTTGGGCAATGCTGAGGGCAACGGGGCTGGGCAGTGCTGAGAACAGGAAGCAGAGGAGAGGGTACAGGAAGGGGCGGGGACAAGGTAGTCCCCAGGACATTTCTTGTGAGCTGCTCCTCCGAAGTCCCCCCACCTTTTTGTCACCAACCCCCCAATCATGCCCCCATATTATGAATCCACCACATGATCAATCCATTGATTAGGGCACAGCCCTCGCCTCGCACTCTGTCCAGGGAGACATGCCCAGAGGGGCTACACTGAGCTCCTCGGGGTGTCTCAGCCCAAACAAGTGGACAGTGGCATCTTCGCACTACCCCAGGCTTCTGTCCTTGGAGGACACACCTCCAGCCATGGCCACTGGCTCTCCCTCAACACCCCACCTCAGAGAGGAGTCCGCAGAGGAAACCGAGGCTCCTCAGATCCGCAGACACCAGCAGCTCCAGGAAGTGTAGCTCTCAACAAGAAATCTCCTTATCAGAAAGCTGGTTCAGAGGTCCGCCACCTACCCACCCATGGTGCAAATCCCTGTGGTGGGAATCTCCCCCTATAAATCTACCCCCTTTCCCATGGTGTGAATCCCTTTGTGGTGCAAATCCCCGCTGTGGTGTGAATTCCATGGGTTCAGGCAGCCTCCCATCCATCCTCTGAACAAACCAAAGAAATCCCACAGGGGCTGAGCTGAGCATCAAGCATTTTTATTATGATTTAAGTTTCTATATTAAATTTTAAGCTTGGATATTAAAATGGAGGCTTTATTGCCTCCTCCTGCTTATTAGGAAATCCCGAATGATCGTCGTGAAATTGCTTTCCTCCACCATGCGTAGGGGGGCGGGGGGGGGGAACAGGTGTGTGTGGACACTAGGGCAGCTGTTCCATCATCGGCCTCCTCCTCGGCCATCCACGGCCGGGCTGAACGGCTTTTAGCACCAGGACACTCTTCTTTTTCTTCCCTCTTGCTTTTTTGAAAACAGAGATTCCATCAGGTCACAAAAAATAGCTAACGGCTACTCATTGTCTTTACATTATGTAGATCCTGCCCAACACAAGGGTACTGGGCCTTGGTTAGTTTTTAAAGTAGCCTTGTCCTGAACACTAGCGGTGTAGAGCCCAAGAAGGCAAAGGTCATTAAGGGCAAAGACCAGTCCCTGTGTCCATGATTGAGACATTCCTGCTCCTCCCAGCCTTCAAGGGCCCATGCACAAAGACCATTCCTACCCGGGGATCCTGGGAAGCAGTGACAATCCACCACCACCACCACCCACTGCCCATCACAAAGCTCATTGCCACAGCCCACACAATAATCAGGCCTGTTATCGATTATTTTGATGGATGATTGATTGATCAATCGACTGATTTGCACAGTAGGGATACAGTCCAGGATGTTGAGCTTGCTAAGCAAGCCATGCCTTCAGCCACTTTGGTTTTTTTTTTGTATTTTGTTTGTTGAGATGGGGTCTTGTGAACCTTGCCTAGGCTAGCTTCAAACGTGACAGTCTCTCAAGGAGCTGGTTACAGGCAGGCGTGCTTCACCCTGCCTGATGGGCAAATTTTTTTTTTTAATCTTGTATTATCAATACCAATTGGAAAGAAACTCATTCCATGGGATGTTTTTGTTCATTTGCTTTGTTTTCAACACAGAGTCTCATTAGGTCACCCAAACTGGCCTCAACTCAAGATCTGTCCTGACTCAGCTAACCAGGCACTGGGATTATAGGTGTGTGCCACTGTGGCTGGCTTCCACATGCCGTCTTCTCAAGTTACCTTCCCAACATACCATTAAGACATAATGGAAACACTCAGACATGCCTGAAACTACCCTCTGTAGAGGACATTTCCCACTCTTCTTAGGAAATGGATAATATATTCAATCCCTCCAACTACTATCACCACACAAACTGCAATCATTTAAAAACCAGACGTTCAATCTTTACCTGATTTATGTAACTGCTGGCGGGGGCCCCCCCCCCCACCTGTACATCATCTTTATAATGACAATGAAAGAAACAGTCACCAAGTGTCCAAAAATCTGCTTTAATTCTATTTCTGTGAATTCCAGGAAGAACATCATTACATTTACTGTTACAAAAAGCAAGCGGGACATCTGAACATGCGATTGAAAAGTGGATTCACAGCGAGACAGATGTATGTCGGTACCAAAATATAGTTCCCTGCCTGCAAGGGGGAGCTTTCTTCTAATTAGCCACTCAGCTCTGATTGTGAGAAAATATTCTTTTTTTCCCCTTTGGGAGAAGTTAACGACTTGTGGTGCTATACTGTCTATTCTGATAGCAGTCTGTTACACTGAAAATCTTCCTTTGAACTCTGTAAGTTATCGTCAGAAAATTAATAAGTATGACAGCAAACTCAGCCCTTGTTACATACAAAGCCATTAGCAAAAATATGTAACAAAATGCATGTAAAACAATCAGTTTGTCCTTAAATAGAGAAGATGGTCTTCTTCCTCACAGCCCATTCTGGGTGGAGCAGGGGAAATCTTTAGGTAGAGTTACTTTTTCAAATATCTTTTAACTGAATTACAAAAATGCACCTAGGCCGGGCACCAGTGGCTCACACCTGTAATCCTAGCTACTCAGGAGGCTGAGATCTGAGGATCGTGGTGTGAAGCCGGCCCGAGCAGGGAATTCTTGAGACTTTTATCCTTAATTAACCACACACACACACACACACACACACACACACACACACACACACACAGCATCTGGGTTTCTCAATTTAGAAGGAAAAACTGACCACAGCTTCAAATGAAGGATTTGTCCTTTAGTCCTTCATGAAGTCGCTTGATGGACTCAACATTTATGGAAGAAATGATGCTACCTGTGACTGGGATGTGAGGGCAGGGGACAGACACTGACGCCTGTAGCCAGGCGGCCAGGCAGTTTCACACCCAGGGCATGCATTTAATCCAGGTCACACAGCACCTCAGGCGGAGAGGTTGGGGGTACAGAGGCAGTGTCACAAATCCACACATGGGGGACACAGGAGGTTAAAGGGAGAGTGACACCCAGCTTTAAAATCACATTTGCTAAGCATTTCAAAGCCGGGCTCCTCTTTGTGGACAAAAAACAACAAAAACAACAAAAAACCCAGGACATTCCACACAGGACCTTGTAAACATCGCTGAAGCTTCTGCTTCGTACGCATCACAGCCTCAGAAGAAAATAAATCTCCGGTTTCTCGTCCAGGCCCGGCTCAGTCTGCAGATCTGGGCCGTCTGAACGGCACTGGTCGACACAGCGGCCACGCAGCACCGCGCAGGCCCCCTCGGGGATGCCCCGGCCCTCCAGGGCACCCCCCTTTGAGGGCCTCAGGTACCCTGCGATGTAGGAGCCGGTGGAGTGGCGGTTCACAGCCAGCCCGGGCGCCGGCGGCCTCTTCCTGAGAACCACGCCGCCCCCCGGGCCAGCGTCACCCACCTTCGGCCTGCTGGCTTCCTGCTTCTCCCTGGCACGGCTGGCGATGTTCCGAACTCGGCTCTGACTCCTGGAGGACAGCTTCCGCACCAGCGCCCGCGGCAGCTGGCCGGCCTCCTGCCTGGAGTCCCGCACCTGACAGCCATCCTCCTGCTCTAAGTTCACCAACTGCCGCAGTTGCTGGGTCAGGGCGTCCAGAGGCCCCAGGCCGGACGTCCTTGCGGCCGCCCCCGGCCTGCCCGCCCCGCCCGTGGGCACGAAGCTGCGGCTGATGCACTGGTACTTGCTCTCGAAGTTGCAGGCGATGTCCTCCGAGGTCAAGTCCCCCAGGCTTTTGGATTTGCAGGGACTGGACAGGGCAGCGGGTGGCCTTGGGGTGGGCCCAGGGGCCTGCGCACCCTGGACAGCGGCCTGCTGGGGCTCGCTGGCCTGGCGCCCTCCTCTCTGTGAGGCCGGGACGTGGTGCTCAGCACCAGCGCCCTGGGAGGCCGGGTGCGGAGGCCTCTCACCTCTGGGGAGAATTTCCCAGTGGTGAGACCGGAGTGTCTCCGCACAACAGCCATTCCTCCAGTCTCTCGGGCAGGGTTCCAGCACATTCTGGCCGTATTCCGGCCTGACTGGACAGGCGAGTGGAGTGGCACCCAAGCCTCCTTCGTGGCAGGTGGTCAGAGACAGATCTCCTGAGGTGCCGTCCATTTCCACCAGGCTGCTCTCTCCAGAATCCACGCAGCGCACGGGGCCCGCCATGATGTCATAGCTCAGGGTCAGGTCGGTGGACGGGGCAGGGCTGCTGCTGCTTAGCAGCTCCCAGTGCTTCCCACGGGTGGGAGTTTGGGGGAACCCACCACGAGGAGCATCAGGGGACCCCCGTAGGCTTGTAGCACAAGGGGCCTCCGCGGGCGTGGATTTGGAGTGGGGAGGGCAGATGGTCCCAGTGGGGGTGGCGAAGCTCTCAGGATTGAGGAGTGGGCTGAGCTCCAAGGACGACAGGAAGGATGGGACAGCCTCGTCCCCAGAGCCTCCACGCTGGGAGGCCGGGGGAGGATAGCCAGCCTGGACGGGAGGCTCCTCAAAGCGTGCGATCAGTGCCGAGATGGAGCTGCCTGGCTCCGTGTCGCCCGTGAAGGTGGCGTTGTCCAGGAGGAGGGAGACGTCTGTGTCCTGCAGGATGGCCGTGGAGTGCAGGTCAGGCGTGGCGGAGCAGAGTGCGGACATGTCTGACAGAGACAAGGATGCTCGCGCCCCGGCCCGGCCGCCCCACAGGCCGCCTGAGGAGAGGGTGCTGTGCCCACCCTCCGCTTTCCCCGCTTCTTTGGCTTGCTTGTCTCGCAGGTTTTGTGTTGGGTAAGAGCGGGAGAGGAGGGTGGACTGGAGCCCCGGAGACTGGCTGGGGCCGGGGCCCTCCTGGCCGATGTCGCTGGTGGCTTGTGGCTGGGTGGGGACCATGGTGGAGAGGACATGGGTGGCCCCCGGGCTGGCGTCTTTATGGAGGAGGGCAGAAGAGGAGGGTGAGGACAGCTCTTGGTTGAAATCTGGAAAAGGTGGGCCTTTTCCACTGGCCTGGCCTGTTCTTCTGCCATCTTTACCTTCTGCTGAATGAAACAAACAACACTTTAGGAGTGGCATATCACCTTACCTGCAAACACTCATGTTTGTCTTGAGACGGACAAATGGAGAATGTGAAGCTGTTACACCGTGCAGAAGAGAATTATGGGTCGCACAGGTTTGCAAAGAAGAGTGCATGTGTGATGAGTAAATAGTACAGTATGTTTATGGGGACGTCACCGGAGCTCCCTGTGAATGGCATTACATCGGCTAAGGATGTAATTAATATTCATTGTCCAAAAGAAAATGCCAATGAGTCACCATAGTTTCACAGTGAGGATTACCTGCGGTGGCGTCCTATTCAGATTTGTACTACACAGAAGCGTGGTAATAAAAAACAGAACAAGACAGCTCTGTTAAACACAGCATTGCAGTTCCTGGAAGCAAGAGACTGTAAGCTTTACAGTTAGACATCTATTAGCAAAAAGAAAAATCGCAAATGATATCACTTAAAAAGACATTTTGACAAGAGATTAAATTTAACCAACTAAAACAACTAGAGGGTGAATCACAAAATCAGTATCTACTGACTTAAAGATGTAAAGAATTGGCTACCGATTTTAAGTCCATGCTACTAATAATGTGTTTAATGCTGTTTTGTTTTTAGTAAACAAGTTCTATATTGAATTGCCCCCCCAGAATTGGAAGTATGACGTCAGACCAGTAAGGGAAAGTATAAAAACACACAACTTCCAGTAACTCAGGTTCATGGCTGACTGACATGTACTAACATAACATTAAATGTTCAATTATTCTTGAATTATTCTTGATAATTCATTGGATTATCTTCTAATGCTTTCGGAGTCGTATAAGAAAAAGATTTGTCTCACTAAGCATTTAACTGAGAAAAAAATCCTGCATAATAATTTTTAAAGCTTAAGAGCAAAACATAAAGTGAGAAAAAATCCTGCATAGTAATTTTTAAAGCTTAAGAGCAAAACATAAAGAAAAAAAACAATTCAATATCCTTATGTCACCAACCAGAGATAGTCACTTTGACAGCAGTATGGAATAAAGTTTAGAATTTTATGTTCTACTTTTTCTCCGTATGTCTTCTCAACACGAAGTATTGCGTGATTGTGAATTGTTCCATACTTGCCCAAAGTAACTCCATCTTTGGGGTGGGGTGGGGCACTGTTCTTGAGCTTCTTTTGCACAAGACTAGTGTTCTATCACTAAGGCCACAGGTCTACTTCTTGCTTTTCAGTGGTTAATTGCAGGTAAGAATCTCATGGACTTTCCTGCCTGGGCTGGCTTCAAATCGCAATCCTCAGATCTCAGCCTCTTGAGTAGCTAGGTGATTACTGGCACCTGGCTAACAGGTGATAGATTCACAGAACACAGCTGATAGATTCACAGAACTGTTTTCAGAGGTAAGAATAATGAAAACAGGTCTTTGAGATGGCTTTCTAATTCATCCTAACGGCATTAACCTCATCTTAGCTGCATCATTAACAGGGTTAATTATCATCAATTTTTATAAAACATAGCTTTATCTTCCAAATTATGGGGTTATAAAGTAAACTTTGAAGTATATTTCCTGTCTTCTATGATAGTGTGGTTAGTGAAATTTCAGACTTTTAAACTCCCCTTTCTCCTTTACCTAGCTAGGAATTGCTGTTTCTACTCGGATCATCTTAACAAAGATCGAAATGGCTTTTGTAGGAAACTAGATTTTAGAAATGAGATTGATGCATAGAGAATGATTTTGATAAGGGGATTGCCTACCACATTCAACTTCTCTGACATAATTCAGATTCAGTTAAAACATATTTGTTCCAGAGAGGTGATAATGGGCAGAATTTCGGAACTTAAAAGACTACGACAGAATGGGAGAGGGGGGTGTAGATAAAAGTTGAGAGCTCTGTTTCCTTGCAAAATGGTGGTTCCTCTTTGTTCCTCTTTAGGCATTCCTGATAAGAGTCAGCAAGGCACTGAGGTGAAGGAAGTGTGAGCAGTACCTGACTGCTATGCTTGGGGCCTCGGACCAGGCAGGAGCCACAGACCAGAGGGCCCAGGTCACAGGAAGACATGGTATCGGCCATGTGTCAAGGAAGCAGAGAGTTTACAAGTGACAGTTTGCTCTCCACATTTGGTTTTCTATCCCCATGGATATGTGTGGAGAAAAGTGTCACCATACTCAGCCTCAGAAAAGTCAACACGTTTGATTCAACCGCAGAAAGCCAGTTAGAAAACTAGCATGTCTACTCCTACTTGGCAATTTTCTCCCCTCTCCATGCAGCCTGGCGACAGGCACACACCAGGGCATTGCCCCATTCTCTCTGACCTCACCCCCAATATCAGACAGAAAGACTGTGTCTGAAGCAAGTAGCTCCTTTTGCACTCTCCCCTCTGAAGTCTGAAATCATCCTGGGCAAGCAGGTAGCATTGAAGCTGCTCCTTTGCCAGGAGCCAGGGGTTCATACCTGTCATCCTTACTACCTAGGAGGCTGAGATCTGAGGATCACAGTTTGAAGCCAGCCAGGGCAGAAAAGTCCATGATGGGACTCTTATCTCCAATAAACTACTCAGAGAAAGCCAGAAGTGGTGCTGTGGCTCAAGTGGTAGAGTGCTAGCCTTGAGCAAAAGAAGCTCGGGGACAGCACCCAGGCTCTGAGTTCAAGCCCCAGGAACGACAATAAATAAATAAATAATAAACAGCTCCTTCTGTTTCCGGTATCTTTTACTATCCTCCACAGGGGTGAAGGCAGCTTCGTGAAACCTCATGCCTCTTACCCGGAGAGCTCTCCTTTGCCCCGGTGGCAGTAGGGGCTGCGGACATGGGGAGTGGGAGTGCCAAGGCCCCCAGGAGACCCCGGTCCACGGGCATGGAGACTGGGCGCGCTTGTAGACTCCGAGTGGTTCTTCGCAGGACTCCGTCCTGATCCTTTGTGGCTTCAGACACGGAATCCTTGATCTCTACCATTTCTTGGAAGCCCATTTTGCTCTTTTTCCTGCCTTTGGCTGGGGCGCTGGCTGTCCGGCGCAGAATTCTGTCTCCGATGGATCGTTTCCGAACGTAGTGGGAACTGTTTTCTGAAGCGCCGGGCCTGGGGCTCTTGGTGAACAACCCCTTCAGGCCTTGGAGCTGCCTGTTCTGAAGACACAAAAGGACCAACAACCGTTGACACCATGTGGTCCCAGCCCCCATGTGATGACAGCTGCACGGGATATGAGTGCACAATGAGAGCACGCAGCCATCCAGGGGCAGCGAGACCCGGAGGAGGCCGCGCTCCATATCTCTGCACAGCAGCATGCACCTCTTAGCATCGACCTTCCATGTTCAGGACCAGCCTTTCCCCAAGGCCCCTCCCCACAGACAAGGCGTGGGAATGGGAGATGGGCTGTCACAAACATCAGCGCCCCTGAAGCCACAGATGTGTTTGGAGCAGATGAGCGAGCATGCCGCCATGAACACCGACAATGACCAGGCCACAAGAACAGAGCGCTGCGCCAGGCAGCTACCTTTGAAGCCCCTAGGAAGTGCAAGATGGTGTAACTGGGGTTGAGGATTAATGGACTCCACTGCAGAGGAGAGAAGAGGACACAGGGCCATTTGTACCCATTGGACAAGGGAGGTGAGAGGACACACAGAAAACAATGCCTGCCCTGCGTTGGCCTGCCCTCCAGTTCCAAACCCACCCAGCGTCCACTCAGCACTGGGCCATGGGCACCGACCCAGCACACCGTGAGGACACAGGTGATTGAAGGATGGACGTCTACTTACACACACAAGCCCCACAAGACACTTCCTCTATCGCATTTCCAAGTATTTCTAGAATTCTAGAAATAAATTTTCAAATGTATTATTTTCCCTCTGGCATGATGAGTGCAAGGAATAGTGTAGATTCAACTTGGGATTCCTAGGATCACTTTTAAGTCTCTCTAGGTGTGACTCATTAGGCCAGTAGAAAGATCCAACAGGCAGCATACACAAAACCTGGGATTAAACATAGAAAGCCATGGGAAAGAAGCAAAGATCCTTAATTCCCTTCATCTGAAATGCAGGAACAGAGACCCCCAACTCAACCTCTGGTGGCTGCCGTCACAACAACATTAGTATTGGCCAACTTGTTTGGGTGTTTACTACACACCAGGCAACATTTGGAGACAAACTTGTGTACTTATTTATGAGGTGGTTCTGTTTTTACCTCACATCAAGGGGCAGGGATCCAGGATGGCTCTGGAGGCCAGGAGGGAGCTCTGGACATTCCTGCCCCAGCCCCACCTGCACCATCCATTCTGAAATTTGCAACTGGACCAAGTCCTGATCACTCAGAGCAGGAGAACTGTCTGCAGGCATATCAACCTCCATCAGACCAACAGTGAAGGGAGCCCTGTGATCCCTCCCTCTCCTCTACTCTTCTCCTCCCCCCCACCTCTCTCTCAAGTCCTGTGGGTGGTTTTAAACCCATTCACAATCCACAGGTGACATGGTGAACAGCAGTGGACACACCCATCTGAACTGGCTTGTATAAAGCTTTGGGGCAGGTAAAACTCCAGCCTGCATTTCCCACAGCAAAGAAGTGAGTCCTTTTCAGGACTGCAGTAAAACTCAGTGTCTAACCCCATCGATCAACATGGTTATGTCCTATCCGTGTTTTCCTGGGAGGCCAATCATCTTCTGGTTCTCTTAAGGCCAGAGAGGACCCCTGGGTAAGATAAGAGGAGAGGATCCTGTTGAGTGGAGCCGTGGCCGCCAAGCCGCCGACACATTGCCACTGAACACCAGTTTGCTAAACTTCACGTTTCTCTGCTGTCACCAGTCAGCAGCGACGTGGGCCAGGGCTGTGCTGGGCTGTGTGGACTTCCACCCTCTGTCCTTCTCACCTTCCCGTAGATGTCGTTGATTGTGATGTGCACAAAAATGGAGGCTTCTGTGAGTCCTTCCAGGTAGACATGCCGGTAGCCTGGGAAGCAAAGATGGCGTTGGAACCTGCTCTGGTGTGGCCTTGCTGGGGGCAGACGGTGGGGCGTGTGACTGGACCTTGGCTTTCCTGTTCTCTGAGCACACCACATAGATCATGCTGTATGTAACTGTGCAGCACACAGGACACACATGGATCTTACAAAGGTAGAGGAACAGCCAGCCACGGTAAGGCCCTGGGTTCAGTCCCCAGCTCCATGTAAAACCAGAACAAAAGAGCGGCCATGCACAGGGGTCAGTTCACACATGCCAGTTCACACCTGTAAGCTCTCACCCGCTAGTTCACACCCACCAGCTCACACCCTCCAACTCACACTCGCCATGTCACACCTGCCAGCTCACACCCATCAACCCACCAGCTCACACCCATCAGCTCTCCCCATCAGTTCTCACCCACCAGTTCACACCTGCCAACTCACACCCACCAGCTCACACCTGTCAGCTCTCACCAGCCAGTTCACACCCACCAACTCACACTCACCATGTCACACCCGTCAGCTCACACCTGTCAGCTCTCACCCCCAGCTCTCACCCACCAGCTCTCGCCTACCGGGCACTAAGCTGGTGAAGGTCACGGTCCTCTGCCCCACAAAGTCTCGTCCTATCGGGTCGTGATCCCACACGAGGAACCGCACCAGGGCGATTTCTGGCATGTGGACGGTAAATGTCAGTGTTTCTTCCCACACAGGGTTAAATCCTTAGAGAAACAGGAAAGGGAAAATCATACCAGTGACGTCCGGGGGCAAAGAGGACAGGGAAAGCTGCAGTGGTGGGCACTGAGCTCTCAGAGATGACCCGGCTACTCAGACGCCATCCTGAGAACACACCTCAGGGCTCACCCCACTGCTGGAAAATGGGGTGAGGGGTTTCTGTAGATGGTCATTAGCGGTGGACGGTCTGTTCCGGCAGGAGGATGCACCTCGGCCGTCAGAATGTGTCAGTAAGTCTACAGCAAAGATGTAAGGAGAGTTTAGCAGCCCCGAGGTCAGTTCTCACCAGTGCAAAAGAAATGGAGTAGAACAACCCAGAGGGCCGCCTCCAAGACCGGCTTCCCACCTGCCGAAGATGCTGCTACCAACCATCTGCCAAGGTGCTGTGCGGGACTAGGAAGGCTGTACATTTACCATCTCTTAATTCTTACAGTAAGCAGGAGGTGGAGGCAAAGGGTTGGGGGTTCCAGACCAGCCTGGACAGAGTGTGTGACACTATCTGAAGAACAAGCTATAAGGACTGAAAGTGGTCCCATGGTAGAGAACCACCCTGACAAACCCAAGGCCCTGAGCTCAGTCCTCAGTGAGAAAGAAAAATAAGCAATGTTGGGATTTTTTTTTGTCTAATTAAGAAAAAAATACCTATTGCTGACTTTCAAAAATATATAACCTTAACCATGCCCACAAATCGAGCTACTCTGGAGGCTGAGATCTGAGGATTGCAGTTTAAAGCCAGCCTAGGCAAAAAAAAGTCTGAAACTCTAATTTCCAATTCACTACCAAAAGCTGGAAGTGGAGCTGTAGCTCAAGAGGTAGAACACCAGGTAGAACACCTGAGATCAATCCTAAGCCTTACAAAAAAAAGAAAAAAAATACATGCGTTTTTAAAACCTTCATTGTTTATTATTTTTGTTTTGTTCCAGTATAAGAAATATTCAAGAAGCAAACCTGCTAGAGTATGCTGTGCTTATCTTTAGTTTGACATGCTCAAAAATAAAAAAAAAAATAGCTGGGCACCAGTGACTCACTGTTACCCTAGCTATTCAGGAGGCTGAGATCTGAAGATCATGGTTCAAAGCCAGTCTGGGCAGGAAAGTCTGTGACACTCTTATCTCCAATAAACCACCAAAAAACCGGAGTGGCACTGTGGCTCAAGCGGTAGAGTGCCTGCCTTGAGCTGAACAGCTGAGGGACAGCACCCAAGCCCAGAGTTCAAGCTCCACAACCAACCAAAAAAAAAAAGTTTAAAAGAGAATGAGATGTGAACCAGACATGTGGTTTCTCTAGGAGAGCTTTGGGAGATGTACATCCTAAGAACATGATAAAAAATATTCCAGGGTGTTTCCCAAGTGAGTGTTACAGCCCAGATCTTGAAAATACAGTTCACACTTCCCATTGTGGAGAATCGGCCATCTTGAGGAAGAACTGCTGACTGGTGACAGCAAATTCCAGCATCCGTCCCAGAGCTCAGGCTCAGAGGCTGAAAAACCTTCACCAAGGCTGAGCCCACCATGCTGGACACTAGGACACTACTCATCTCAACAGATGTGATTTCCTTCCTCGGGCCTCCCTCAGAGTCTCCTTCTGGCTCTTTCTTGCCTAGCCAGTGCTTGAACACCGAGCATGAGCACTGAGTACACCCACCAAGCACAAGCAGTGAACACTGTCTTACCATTGTCGAGCACCACACATGAGCACCAAGCACAAACACCAAGCACAAGCACCAAGCGCAAACACAGAGCATCATCTTACCATTGTCATCCACCACTCGAGTTTGGTCTTTACAGCAGTCTACTGGCAATCCAATGATCTCTACTTCCACAAAAGGATCGATGATCTACAGAAATAAAGAGGAGGAGGTTTGGGACACTCATCTCACCCTGGTCCCTGAACATGGAGTCCGGAGGCTTGGGGTACTCACCTCGCCCCGGTCCCCGAACATGGAGTCTGGAGGTTTGGGAAGCTGCTGTCCACTGATCACTTTCAGGATGAGCTGCTTTTTAGGGTTGGCCGGAAGTGGATCACCAGAAAAAGGGTTGAAAGTACCTAGGCCAAGACAGCAGAGATTGGTGGAACACACACATCCATTGTACATGCAGACACTACACACACACTACACACAAAGTGCACAAACTTCAAGCAACACAAGAAACAACCATTACACCCTCTGCCGATGAATTTCCCACACGGCCTCTGTGGACCCTACGTCTCCCCTAAGAAAATGTGGTGTGCATCCAAAGTGGAATAGTATTCATCCACGAAAAATATTAAATTGTGGTGTTTGGAGCACCATGGATTTAAAAGGAGGATTTTCCAGGAAGTGGGATAATTCTGGCACACATAACAAAAACCCCAAATGCTACATATTCTCAGTCATACAGATCATGGACTAATGGAATAATGGTTCTCAGAACCTGTAGATGGAGACAGGATGTCAGAGTGCTAGTACCTGGCACATGGGTTCTAGAGTGTAGTTGAAATAGTTTTTCTTTGTGGCAGTACAGGGGCGTCACGCATGTGCAAGGCGGGCATTCTCCCTTGGACCACACCTCCAACCCCGAAGGACTAACTTCCAGTGCCACAACCATGGCGGACAACGAGTAGGTGGACATTCCAATGTGGCCCATGGAAACCACTTGGAATTTTTCTAGCACCTGAGGTGGCAGCACCCCTCTGACCCTGGTCAGGATCACACACGGTGCATGGGCTAGTGTCCTGCCCCATGGTGGTTACCGCCGTGTCCCTGGGCCTCTGGGTGCCGGGAGTGAGCCCGAAGGCTTCCCACCTTTGCACATTTGCTGAGGCTTCAGCACATAGCCACAGTTGCCGTTGGCCTTGAACTTGGCGCGGTTGAGCTGCATCATTCGCCCTTCGGACTGGTAGTTCAGGGCCACTGTGGCGAGGAGTGGGAGAGAGTTGGGCAGGGTGGGGGGGGAGAGGCCGGAGGACTGGGCGGAGCCCCTCCCTCCACCCCCACGGGCTGGCAGCCCTCCCCCTCCCCCGCCACACCACACCCCACCCACCAAGCTGGCAGCCCGTGTTCCAGTAGGGCAGGGGGTTGAAGTTGCTGGAGTCGATGCGGTAGGCCGAGGGGTAAACTCTAGTCAGCTGCTTCTGGTTGTAGACCATGAACTGCTCTGGCTTCTGCTGGACGACCTGGTGTGCCCTGGTTTCGCTGAAGGATAGCACGTTGCCCGTGGTACCTGGCAGGTATGACGGGAGGGTGGGTGAGGGGGAGGGCAGAGGGGACTGAGAACCACAGCCCGGAGTGGATGGGGAGACAGGCTGCAAGCCACAAGCGGAGCGCACAGATCCTCCCAAACCCACCGCCCTCACACCTACTGAACTCTCCCGAGCACCCCCAGAATCAGGTGACCCCACCCCACACACAGGTTACATTCACAGCACCCAGGGACAAAGGGAAGGTAAAAGGAGGCAGCATCGTGGTCCCAGGGATAGAGCACAAGTCTGTACTGTCTGTGTATGTCTGGGACGGGCTGAGACAGACCCAGCGCCTTGTGCAGACAGACGGTAGGTTGACTCAGTTTACCCACACTTCATGCTATGCAGAGAAGCCTTTAGCCCAAAACTAACATGTACAAAAGCAACTGCAAAAACAATCTAAATTCAATGCAGCCAACTGCCACAGAGGCCTTTCCTGACAGAACCAGTGCCACAAATTCCAATTTTAGGACTTCCCTTGTTTTTATTTTTGTTCTTGGCCATCTGTTGCCCAGGCAGAAGCGTGCATCTGCTAATGTCCCTGTGCATTCCGGATGTCCTATGCTCTACCCAGAGTACACCCACACCACGAATTCTAGTAATCTGCTCAGCATGAGGAGACAAAACTATGATCTATGCCATGACTCAAGCAGAATATCTTTCCCAATGAAGAAGGAATCAACAGGAAGGAGGGGGAGAAGAGGAGGAGGGGAGGAATGAGGGGAAGGAGGGGAGGAAAAGGAGGGGAAGGAGGAGGAAGGAGGGGAAGGAGGAGGAAGGAGGGGGAGGAGGAGGAAGGAGGGGGAGGAGGAGGAAGGAGGGGAAGGAGGAGGAAGGAAGGGGAGGAGGAGGAAGGAGGGGAAGGAGAAGGGGAAAGAGGGGAGAGAGGAGGGGAAGGAGAGGAAGGAGAGGAGGAGGGGGGAGGGAGGAAGAGGAGAGGGAGGAGGGGAAGGAGGAGAATGAGGAGGAGGAGGGGGGAGAGAATAGGGGAAGGAGGAGGGGCCAGAGGGCAGGAAATCTGCAGAAGAGGCAGATAGCGAGTGAGGCAGCATGAAGGCCCCAGGAAAGCAGCCTAGATTTCACAGGAACGGAAGCCCTCACAAAGCCATCTCCGTGCCCCCATGGTGTGTGCTGAGAAAACCAGAGGTCCTGATTTTTGTGTCACTTGAACTAAAATTAAATGAGACTGAAGCTGCTGCATGTGACAGTGGTTATTTCAAAGCATCCAGGAGCTAGATGAAAGGGAGGACAATCGAAAAGAGCTCAGCTGGGGGGGGGGGCCGGGGGGTCTGGCTCGCTAGAACTTATCAGCACAGTGTGGCAGCTCGCTGCTGGTCAGCACCATCAGACACTGAAACACCCGTTTTTTCCGTGAGAGTTCCAATCTACCGACTCAAATACTTTCCCCAAAGCCATAGCCTGAAAGTACGGAGCCCTGCAAGGCCTTGCGTTCGCAACATACTAATTTCCCTCTGGCCTGTCACTCTTGGAATGGCAATGGGAGACTCAGCCGTGGAGCAGGCCTCCTGCTTGCCCAGCGCTGCCTACGGCATTGATTAGCCCGGTCCTCAGCCCTGTGGGAAGCAACTGTCCTCGAGCAACCAGGCGAGCACCAGTGCCTTCACAGAGTGCAGATTCCTATCCGCCTCCATTCCCCTCACTCTCCAATGGGATCCTACACAGTCCCAGAAACAACCTGATGAGCCAGACATTGGAGGGGGGGCAGAGGGGAGGGAAGGGGAGAGGGGGGGCAGAGGGGAGAGGAAGAGGAGAGAGCCTAGGCCTTACCGTCATCCACGATGTCCTGGGCGGCCACGGAATTTGTGTAGATGACCAGGTCAGACAGCTCTCGACACAGCTTCATGGTCTTCCTCCGGCGGCCCAGCCTGCGAAGTGCACCCCAAGAGTCATGCTGTTAGCCTGGGGGGGGTACCCGGGGCTCCGGGGTCCTCACCTTCCGCCTCAGAGGGAATGACAGATGGACGCACAGCCAGCGCCAGGCCTCGGTGGAGCCAGGCCAGGACCCCAAGCTCAGTGCCTCCTCCTCCACCCTCCCTTCACCCATGACGGCTGATGCAGCCTCGGCTCTGCTGGGTCCACAGCCTCCTCTCCATGAGGAGGGAGGGTTTTCTTCCCACTGAAACCTGGGCAGGGGGAGTAGTGGAAAACTGGACTGAAGGGTAGGTGGCCAGAGCACATCCCTTCCAAGAAATGGAGTTTCCACCACGATTTCTTTTAGAGATACAATTGCAAGTCAGGTTTTATACTAACACCCCCACCACCACCACACACATATTCTTCACCTTGCTCAAGTAGTGCTGCTTCTCCTGAGGTGTTTTCCTATCCTTGCTCTCCCACAGAACATTCTGGATCTGCCCTGAATAGCCAACAAATTCCACAGGGCCCTCTGCCCCAGGGAAGCCCACTCAATGTCTGTGGAAAGTCCCGCCCCTGACCGAGAGCCCCGTCATGACAGCCAATAAGCACGTAAGCAGATGTTGGATACTGTCAGTCACTGGGGAAATACAAATCAGATCCATGTCATGCCTACAAAGGGCAGCCAGACCAGGAGGCAGATGCCACAAGGGTTCAGAGAAAGGAACCGCACCTTACTGCGGGATAGAAGTGATAGCAACATTTGAAAAATGGCTTGGCAGTCCCTTGGGAAAATGGAGTTACTTTGTTGCCCAGCACTTTGCTTCCAGTTATACACCCAAGAGAAATAAAAGCCTGCATGCACATTTTAAAAAATGTTTAGACCTGAATGCGCACGGCAGTGTTCCTAACAGCCAAGCAGCAGAAAACAGCAAGGTGTCTTTCAAGTAATGGATGAGTACAAAATGCTGGAGATGGCACAAGGGAGTAGGCTGAGAAATATGTGTGGGTGGAGGAATGGAGCCTGCTACAACGTGGATGAGTGCTAAAGACGCAAACTAAACTTTAACACAGAAGCCAGTCCTCAAAGCCCACATCTTAGCAAACCAATGGAGACAAAGGACTTAATGACTGCTTGTCAGCACCTGAGGAACAGGTGAATGGTGGGAAGCTGGTTAGGGCTATGGGTCTTTCCAAGGAAAATATTCTGGAATTGGATAGTGGTGAAATAGATTTATTCACCCAATAGACATTTGAGTACTCTTTGGAGAGAAAACAGTGAACATATGGCAACAAAAACTCCCACCTTAAGGGGATGCGGAGAAAGAGGAACCCTATTACACTGCTGGTGGGAATGTACACTTATACAACCACTTTGGAAAGCAGTCTGGAGGGTCCTCAGAAAGCTAAAGATTGGCCTCCCTTATGACCCAGTCATACCACTTCTAGGCATCTACCCTGAACAAGAGGAACCAATAGACAAGGACACGTGCACCTCCATGTTTATTGCAGCACTGTTCACAATAGCTAGGATATGGAAACAACCCAGATGCCCCACCACAGATGAATGGATCCAAAAATTGTGGTATCTATACACAATGGAATAGTATGCAGCCATTAGAAAGGACAAAATAATGGCATTTGCAGGGAAATAGATGGAGCTAGAAATCGTGTTGAGTGAGATAAGCCAAGTTCAAAGAGACAAATGGCACATGGTCTCCCTGATAAGTGGATGTTAAATCCAAAATGTTAGGTGATATGACAAAATTAACAGGACTTAAGAAACAAAGGACTTCCACTCCAAATCACTACTAAATAACCCCATGCTGCTGATCACATGTATTGTATATATATGCACACTGGAGGGAAACCAGGAGGATGACATAAACTAGAGGGAATCAGGGAAAAGAATATAACAGCAGGACCCATCAGCTGCACTGGACATTGACTAAAATGAACTAAGCAACTCAATGGCAGGGATGGGAGGGAGGGAACAAGTGGGAAAGAGGGAACAGCTGATGCTATGCAAAACAAAAGAAATGTACATATCACCCTATGTGGACGAAATAACTGTACTGCAAAGCTCATAGAACTCATAAATGTTATAGACCATGATAGACAATTTGTCCTATGAAAGTTAGAATGTGTTTGTGACTTTAGCTAAGCATCACTATCCCACAATACTGTGAAATTTGGGAAATTATGTAACCACTTAATCACAATAAAAAAATTTGAAAAAAAAATTCCTACCTTAATAGTGCTGGAATACATTCAATGAAAGAGCACAGGACAAAAAGTTCCAATAGTTCACTTCGCCAAGAAAAGTCAGAATGGAACACACACATGTATAAAAATCAGTGTACACCACTCCCACAGTCAGTGTGACTCCACACACAACACTCTTCCGGGTGTGTGTACACATGTGTATGTTTCCATAGCTGTCCGTCAGTCTGTCCATCTATCCGCCATGGAATACACTTCCTTTGGGAGACTAAGTCTGTTGAGTGCCTGGTGGTGTGCCGACTCTCCCCCACCACTGTTGCTATCTCAGGGCAAGTCCATCTTTCAGAGCCAGAGTCCCTGCACCCTGGGCCAGAAGCACACAGCTCACTCACCTGCACATCTGGCCGCCCTCCCTGCTCTGGTTCTGCTGCAACTCCTCCTCTTCCTCCGTACTGTATGACTTTGACCGAGACTTTGTGGCTTTCTGCAGCAAAAATCATAGTAAATGTAACATGGGGGAAATCCTACATGCCATGGAGAATGGACTGGGTTTAAACACAACATGTACACAGACAGACAGACTGGCTTGGTGAAACAGACACAAAGACAGAGACACAGAGACAGAGGGGAGACAGAGACACGAAGACAGAGAGCTACGCAGAGAAACAGACACAGAGAGACAGGAGACAAATAGTAACTGAGAGAGAAAAAAGACCAAATATAGCCTCTAATTTCAGCATTAAACAACAAATGTGTTGTTTACTTATATTAAAATATTAATTGGGATCTTTATATTAAAACATTAATCAGCATCCTTATACTAAAATATTTATGCAAAATCTAGACTTTTGTGCTCAGAGACTGATTCTAAGGCACATAAAACTCAGCTCTTAGAAAAACTTCTCCTCACACACTGTGGTTGGGGCATGTTAAGGGTGGGAATATTCAAAATATTCTCTCTCAGTGTGCATCGTGCTTTCTGATACATTCCTGGGGTCCTGGTTAAGAAATCTTCATCCATGTGTATATGTGCAAATGGAACCAGGAAATCCAAGGGGATGGGTGGGTTGGGAGATGGGGGGGAATGAGGGATGGGGTGATGTTGAGAAAGAAGCATTGTACTCAGAAACTGACTTGTCCAAATGAAATCTCTCTGTATAGCCACTTAAAGATAATTCTTTTTAAAAATTAAAATAAAGAAACCTCTAATCATTCTATGTTCATGACTGAAATTCTTCTCTTCCTTCAGAATCTTTCCATTAAATGAAACAGGTATACACATTTCTTTATTTTTATACCACGTGCTCACGAGTTTGAATTCATACCTTGTGCTTTCCAAAGTTGGTCATGAGGGCCCGTGCCTGTGATTTCTTCCCACTTTCCTTCCCATCGGGGTTCTGAGTAGATAAAGGTATACAGAAGTATTTTTCTTCTTCTGTTTTTTGGGGGCTCAGGTAGATAAGAAGATCGAGACCCTCTCTCCCATTAGTCCCGTCTGTCTGTTCCCTTCTGCTCAGCCTCCACCTCGGCCTGCTGGGTGTGGGTCTGCCCAAGAGAGGGCAAGCTTGGATGTCAGCCAGCACCGAGACTCTGCCCACTGCCTCCAGCCGGACAGAAGTGCCCAGCTCCACTGCCCTTACTGCCTGTCCCTCAGGCTGTGCAGAATGTGTCCTGAGTGAGGACAAATTACTTTCAATTAAGAAGAGATTTAATTTTAGACAATGACCAGACTTAGTCAACAGCCTGTGGAATAAAGAAAACAATCACATGCAGCAGTGCTACTTACAAATGAGATCCAGGGATATCTATGAGGTAGTATGTGTGTGTGTGCTTGTTTAAGTGAGCCACAGCAACACCTGTCTGTGCTTTGAATGATGTCGTTGGTAAGGAGGACTGTAAGGGGCATGGTGACCTTTAAGGTGTCCCCAGTGGAGCCCTGCTCCATGCCCTGCTCTGTGTCTTGAGTGGATGCTCTTTGCCAGCCTGCAGTGGGCTGAGACACTAGTGTGCAGGCCCTGGTGTGTGGACAGCATACCTGTCTCAGGTGAGCATGCAGGCCCTCGTGTGTGGCCTTCAGCAGCGCCCTCACTGTGAAGCTGTCAGGGTCTTCTTTGTCTCGGATCTGAGACTCCTTTAACAGGGACTCCAGTTTTTTCCTTATGAAAGACTCTACTTGATGTTCGGTGGTCCCATTATTCTGTGAAAAGGAAGCAGTGCTCAGGATTCCCTTAAGAGACAGAAGCAAGGGGCAAGCATTTCTTGCTGCACTCTTTGACCAAGTCAACAGTGATAGTAGGTCCTCTTCCATTTGGGGCTTGCCAGATCCTCAGCATGTATCTCGAGGCCCAGCTGCCAGACCTGAGACCACCCTGCCCTTCACAAAGAGAGGAGAACTCTCCCCAGGGCCCCTGCCAGTTTCTCCAGGATCCATAGCATTCCTGCTCTCTGCCCAGACCTACACCCATCTGCATACGCGCTGTTTCCAGTGACCAGCTGCACATGCCGAGTACCCCCCACCTCTAGACCCGACAGGACCCAGATGCTCCCTGGGAAACAGACAGGTGCCATTTCTCCCTCTCCCATGGTGGAGGTGGCCTTGTCAGCCTCTGCTGGCAATAAACTCTTCTCCTGACTCTGACTGTCCTTGTGGGATGGGTGCTGTCACATGCCTGTGTGACATCCACCCTCCATTCCTGGAGAAGCTGACATCCTCAGGGTGCCATCTCAGTTCTGTTCACCAGCAAACCCTACAACCATCACTGGCATCAAGAGCTCCCCCTGCCAGCCACTCTCCATGCAATTGTACTCAGCCCTGCACTCAACCTGCATCAGCTCCAGTCTTACTGTTTTCTGCTCCCATGTCTGATGCTTACAGAAATCAAGTTGTTCAAGCCTCACAGAGTTAGTAAGTAACTCCCAAACTCAGGACTGTACCATTGTACTGCTTCCTGTTTTTAATGATGGTGAGGATCAGGAAGGTTCTGGAGACAATGTTTTCTGAGCCTACTTAGTTCAATATGAGTAACAACATTGTATTTCAAAATTGCTTCTCTCACAGAAGGGTAAAGCAGGTGATAAAAGTGTTTGGGGCTAAAGACTGCTCTGAGACAAGATTTCCTTCCATCCTGCCCCACTGTGTGACATGGGGGACACAATTCTGACTTCTCTAATCTGACACTATGATTATTTTAAGATCACAATTAATGGCAACTGCGTTTTTCTAAATGTTTTTCATTTGTCCATAACAAAGCAGGCTGGCAAGATTTATATCTTGGTTATAATTTTCTTTTTTTGGGGGGGCGGTCCGATCGTGGGGCCTGAACTCTGGGCCTGGGTGCTGTCCCTCAGCTCTTCAGCTCAAGGCTAGTGCTCTACCACTTGAGCCACAGTGCCACTTCCGGCTTTT